ATTCATTCATCCACTTATTCACTCAACAACCATTCAGCAACCACCTACAATATGCCAGGCACTGTGTTAGGTGCTTGGAGAAGAAGAAAAGCAAACAACAAAACCAGAACAAGACTCATCCTGTGCCCATGGGCCTCGGTTTCCCCATAGATTTCATGACTCAGAGATCCTTTTTATCTGGGGTGTCTTTCATTCTGTGACTCTGTCTTGACTCTTTAAAACTTCCTGTGCCATCTGCAAACTGCTGTAAGCCAACAGCTTATAAACATTCCCAGAGAGAGGGTCAAAGCCCAGGGGTAAAGGAGCATGACGTGAGCAGAAGAGCGGAGTGAAGTCTGGGGGGGCAGGAGAGGAGGGTAGGAGAGACGGAAGGGGCCAGACCTGCCTGCCAGGAGGTCTTGCCAGATGCTCAGACCATCCTGAGAAATCTCACACCCTCCTAGCCCCCTGCCCTCCCCTGGCTCCAGCTCAGGCTGGATTTCCATCTGCATAATTTGCCCCATTTAGAGGGGGTGGGAGGGGGTGAGGACCAGAGGGTGGGGAGCACTAAGGAGGAGGCATTCCAAAGGCCAGAGGAAACCAGAGGGACAGAGGTGGGGCCAGGAGGAGAGTGGGCTGCAAGCCACAGATAACATTCTGCCCAGCACCGCAGGGGTCAATTTGGTCCACTTGCACAGTGACAAGAAGGGAAAAAAAAAAAAAAAAAGTGGGCTGTAACTGAAAGATATTAAGACTCACAAGTGAGGGGTTGGTCTGTAGGTGGGAGGAGGGAGTGACGAGCCAAGGAGGAGACAGAGACTCAGGAGGGCGCAGGAAGTGTCTCCGCTGAGGCTGGGGCAAGGCAGGAGGGTGGAGGTGTCTGCAGGAGCAGGCATCCCCCTCCTGCTGCTGCCAAGGGCTCTGGGCACCTTCAGCCCTCGGCGCCTGCCCTCCAAGGCTCAAGCCAGAAGCTCCGGGCTCTTGCTGAGTTGGTGACACAGCCACGGAGCTGGTTCCCCCTGGGGTCCCCCGCCCGTCCTCACTCTGCTCCCCAGCATGGAGGAAGACGGCGATTTCGGCAACGATTATGGGGCAGACAACCAGTCCGAGTGTGAGTACGCGGACTGGAAGTCCTCGGGGGCCCTCATCCCTGCCATCTACATGCTGGTTTTCCTCCTGGGCACGACGGGCAACGGCCTGGTGCTCTGGACCGTGTTTCGGAGCAGCCGGGAGAAGAGGCGCTCTGCCGACATCTTCATCTCCAGCCTGGCGGTGGCGGACCTGACCTTCGTGGTGACCCTGCCGCTGTGGGCCACCTACACGTACCGGGACTACGACTGGCCCTTCGGGGCCTTCGCCTGCAAGGTCAGCAGCTATCTCATCTTCGTCAACATGTACGCCAGCGTCTTCTGCCTCACCGGCCTCAGCTTCGACCGCTACCTGGCCATCGTGAGGCCGGTGGCCAACGCTCGGCTGAGGCTGCGGGTCAGCGGGGCCGTGGCCACGGCGGTCCTGTGGGTGCTGGCCGCCCTCCTGGCCATGCCGGTCATGGTGTTCCGTGCCACCGCGGCGGTCCCCAGCCTGGACAACACCACCAAGGTGCAGTGCTACATGGACTACTCCATGGTGGCCACCTCCAGCTTGGAGTGGGCCTGGGAGGTGGGCCTGGGGGTCTCGTCCACGGCCCTGGGCTTCGTCGTGCCCTTCACCATCATGCTGACCTGCTACTTCTTCATCGCGCAGACCATCGCCGGCCACTTCCGTAAGGAGCGCGCCGAGGGCCTGCGGAAGCGGCGCCGGCTGCTCAGCATCATCGTGATGCTGGTGGTGACCTTCGCCCTGTGCTGGACGCCCTACCACCTGGTGAAGACGCTCTACATGCTGGGCAGCCTGCTGCGCTGGCCCTGCGGCTTCGACCTCTTCCTCATGAACGTCTTCCCCTACTGCACCTGCATCAGCTACGTCAACAGCTGCCTCAACCCCTTCCTCTACGCCTTCTTCGACCCCCGCTTCCGCCAGGCCTGCGCCTCCATGCTCTGCTGCGGCCGGAGCCGGTGCGGGGGCGCCGCGCACAGCAGCAGCGGGGAGAAGTCGGCCAGCTACTCCTCGGGGCACAGCCAGGGGCCCGGCCCCAACTCCGGGAAGGGCGGGGAGCAGATGCAGGAGAAATCCATTCCCTACAGCCAAGAGACCCTCGTGGTTGACTAGGGCTGGGGTCCCGGGGCATCCTGGCGCGCTCTCCGCCCTGCCCCCGCTCTCCGAAGTCAGCCCAGGGCACCTTCTTTCTTGCACTTGACTTCCTTCCCTGCTCCCTGCCTCCCGCCTCCTTCTCGTCCTTTCTCCTTTAGTTTTGCTCGGAGGCGTGTGGTTTCCTGGAAGGAGGCTGAGCCCCGCAGACCCACGCCGACGGCTGTGAGACTGACTTGGCACGAGTCTCTTCTCTGAGCCTCAGTTTCTCCGTCTGTATAAAGCGGGGATGTCACAGGGGCGGTGAAACGACGTTTGCATCTGGCTCCGGAAACGCTCCTTCCCCTCCCCCTGCCCTTGTCCTGCGTCTCCATCTCTTTTCTCTCCCTTCTTTCCTGTTACGTTTCCCTCCCTTCTTCCTCCCTCTGTTTCTCACTCTGTCTCTGCAATTTTTACTCTGCATCGTTCCTCTGGCTCGCGCCCCCTCCCGCAACCCCTTCTTCTTCCCCTTATCATCTCCTTGTTCGAAGGGCTCCCAAGGGTTAAGAATCCCGAAGCGTGTAAACACTGCTCCTCGTCCAGGCTCTTTGTCCTGTTCCTGAGGCCCGGGGCGTGGGTGGGCTGGGTGCCGGCACAGAGTTAGAGCTGCAGCCTCCAGAACTTTCCCGCAAATGGGATCCGCGCGCCGTGATTGCAGGCACGGGTGGGGGCTGGGGGGTGGGACGGGTTACGACGATTCCAGAAGGGGCCTCCCTTCCTGCAAGCCCTCCACGGCGCCAGCCAGATGTGCCTCTGCAGATTTCCTCAGACCCTGTGCCTCATCCTCTGCTTTCTGCGGGACCTGGAAGGCAGTGGGGTTGATGAAACGGCGGGTTCCTGGGTTTGGAAGGAAAAGTGGAGAAAGCCGGGGGGGGGGGCAGTCTGCGTCTATTCTACATGCTACTTGGCTTTCCTCCCCAAACCCTCTCCCCTCAAGCCTCCTCCAGAGCTGAGCTGCCGGTCACCCTCAGGGCAGACGCTTTTCTTGGGCACTGCTGCTACTCAGTGCCGGGAGCCACTTTGGCGGTGGCGGACACCCTTGCCGTGTGCGCGTGCGTGTCAGCCTAATGAGCATAGCGTGAAGAGCAGTGTGCCTGTGTCACGTGTCACTTAGCTGAACAAACTCCGTCCTCTCCAACACATATCCACTTCTCACACAGTATCCCCGAGGGAAGAAGGGACATATTGAAGCAATGGAGAATAAAAGTGAGTCCACCCCCACTGGATTGGGGGCTCCTACGGCTGGCCCGTGCTTTAAGAGAGAAGTCTGTTTGTGTTCGCTCCTGGCTCCCTATAGGGAGACTTTTCCCCAGAGCAGCTGGCGCCCAAGGTTTGGGGACGTCCTCTGTGTTGGGTACCCCGCTTCCCTAGTTCCGTGGGGGAGCCAGGAGGCTGGTTAAGAGCTTCCTGGCCCCTTTCCCATGCCCCACCCCACCCCCCACTTTGAGTTTATGAATGTCCCCTTCAGCATGCTTTCCTTTCCAAGGTCTGTGCTCCTCCCGTAAGGGGGCACCTGCTTGCCATGGGGTGAAGAGCGCTGGTGGGTTTTTTCTCACCTCACTATTGGCATCAGATCCCTTGGCTTCTCCTGCTGGGTTGGGGGGCTGGGAGCAGTGACTGGAGCAGCCAGCAGTAGCTGGGCTGACAGCGTTATGTCCACACCGCCAGAGAGACCTCAAGGGCAGAATTGACGGCGGGGCCTAGGTGAGCTGGAAATGGGGCGTGTGCGTTCCGAGTTTTGTTCTTGGGGGACTCTCGACGTGGACAAGACGTGCGTCATGGATACAGGAAGAGCCTGGCTTGGTGTACATGAACAGTATGGCCATTGCTGGGGTGGAGCCCACTCTGGGAGCGGGGTTGGTGGAGGAGAAGGGAGAGGGGTCCCCATCGCAGGCCAGAATCTTCCACAGACTTGCTTTCTCAGCCAAGGACTGTCCTCAGAGCATCCAGTCAAGGCTGCAAAAAGCTTCTAGAAGGGAAGAGGATGCCCCTTTGAGGCCCTCCTTCCTGTGCAACCTGCAGAGACCTCCTGCCTGGAAATCATCAGTAGTCCTGGACAGAGGCGGAAGGGGCTGCCTGCTGTGATGCTCCCTCGTCCCCGACTCACCCCTTCTTCGCAATATTTGTGCTATTTTCTGACCTTGCTGGTCACTGTGGTTCATCAAATAAATCTGTTTTGTGTAGCTATGGTGTTCGAAGCCTCTTCTCACACAAGCGTCTTGGGATGAGGAGAGGACCCCCGATTTCCAAGTGTTACCGTGGGAGGTGGTGGAGTGGGAGCTGAAAGGACTAAGGTGGGAAACTGGGCAGGACGTGGGGGAGGTGGTGAGAACATGGAGAAAGTGGGGGGTGAGATGGGGGGAGGCAGAGGAAGTACAGGGTCACGGCAGTGGCTGAGTCTTTGTGCTCTGATAAGCTGTGGAACAAGTAGGCGTGTATTTTGGGGTCCGGAGCACAGGTCTGGGGGAAATATTAACATTTCTTCCTGTACAGGTAGACCTGTCATTCATTCATTCATTCATTCAGTATCACGTGAGCATCCATTCAGTTTAGACCAGGGGTTGCAAAGCTTGTTCTCCAACCAGAGCCACTCTGGTGGGCTTCGAAAATACACATCCTGAATGTCACCCAGACTGAATGTCACCCAGACTGATGAATCAGAACCTCCTGGACTCGCTCCAGATGTTCGCAGTCACCGAAAGCTCATCGGATGATTTTGGGGTGAGGCCAGGTTTGGAGGTGCCTCCTTCTAAATGAATTCTGCCCAAATTCATGTGGGCACAAAAGACTAGAGAGAGACACAGGAAGCTGGGCTCTGGATGGTCATGGATTTGGGGGGAAAAGGGGCTGGAATGATCCTTAGAAGGAAATAATCAATCTGGAGATGTTCACCATCTTCCGTGAAGACTTCCGGGCACTAATGATGTCTGCAGGTGACACAGAAGCAGTCGCCATTGTAGGACGGACGGTTACGAGAGAGCTCACACTGACTGCGTTTTACCACTGTGCTAGCATTTTCCAAGCATTATCTCATGTAGTCCTTGCAGTCTTCCGAGAGGGGCATTTTCATCGGCTGATAAGGAAGCTGAGGTTCAGAGACATTAGTTAGGTATCTCGATTATCTCAGCAGGTACTGCAGGGAGTTTGACGCTAACAAGCCCTGAGCCAGTGGGCGCAAGTCTTCTCAGTTATGACCAAAATGCTTATAAAGTCACTATCAGCAATGTCAAGTACATGAAAGAGCCAGGCCTAGAATCAGCCAAGTCTAAGTTCAAAGCCCACACTCTTGCCCACTGTTCCTTCCAAAGCACAAATGAGGCAGTCCAGGTGGCTGGGAAAGAGAAGGGGAGATGTTGTCTGTCAGGCGCCCGGCACAGGTAGGGAATACTTCACGAGTGGGTGGGGTTGGGGCAGGACCGGGGTGGGAGCGGAATGGTGAAATGTGCATTGATTGGGGTTGGGAGAGAGAGAAAAAGAGAGACAGAGAGAGACAGAGAGAGAGAGAAAGAAAGAAAAAGAAAGGAGAAAAGAAAAGAAGGAAGAAAGAGAAAGAAAGGACACTATCCACAGAGTAAAAAGGCAGCTCACAGAATGGAAGAAATCAGGTTTTGTTTTCAATCTTCTGAAACACACCAGGGAAAACCCTGCAGGAATTTACAACTGTAACAACAAACTATTTGAGCTACTTTTTTTTTTTTTTTACAAATGCTATGAAATAAACCTCACCAACTCTCCATGGAAATTTGAAATAAGTTACTTAAAAAATTGTAAGATTATAGTGCACTTAATAATCCATTTGTTCACACGTTTCTTCATTTATTCACTTACTCTCTTTCTCACTCAGCTGTTTATTCAGCAAGTCCTTATTATAAACAAGGACCCGGTGGCTCCAGCCTGATGGTGAAGACAGACAGCTGGATGAGTGACTGTAATCGAATGTGCTTCGAAGGGATGTACAAGGGCCTAACCTGAACAATGGAATGAGTCTGGGTGGGTGTCAGGGGGACCTTAGACACGGTGTATGCCAGGAGCCCGCTCTCTAAGCTGTTATTTGGGAAACTGTTCTGTGCAGAAGAAATATCCAGAGATAAGAGGGGGTGCAGCCCCTTCGAGGAACCGAGAAGAATGCTCATTCTCGTCTCCCCGATGCCCCAGCTTTGGGGAGGGGAGCCAGGCAGAGGCACAGAGCAAAACGTGCCCAGGTCTCAGAGTGTGGATGACAAGCAGATTGGGGCCTGGGACTAAAATCTGGGTTTCTAGACAACTTAGAGCGGAGTGGCAGAGATTTTTTATTTGTTGGTGACTTCCAGGGTCTGTCTTTTCTGGGCTTGAGCTGTCTTCCTCCAAAATATTTGCCAGAGTCTCCTAAACAGAGGCCTGGAGTTCTGGACCCTCTCATACTAGGCTCGTTGAAGAAAGATACTAAGAAGGGGCAGATGGAGC